CTACTAGTAGATTAGAAGGGGCTGCAATTCAGATTTCTGAGGGGAATTGCAGTCCAAAAATCCTTTTTTTTTTTCAAAAAATGGTACTTTGAAGAATTAATGCAATATTTCCTCCTTTCATTAACAACCAAATATATGGAACATGTTGGGTGTCTGAGTTTTGCACAGATGATGATTGAACGGCAAAGCTCATTTTGATGTAAAATATGATCAAAATATAATATGAAAAGTATTTACTAGTTTTTATGTAATATTTTCTGACTTTGATTTGAGCAAGATGAACGGTTGAACCAAACAGCCAAAATTCCAGTATTGAACAAGCATCTATCTTATGGTTGGAGGCTTGGAGCCATGGGCTTTGAAATATAGTGGGTTTGGTGAAAAAGCTTTTTAAGGCTCCTCCCTTGTGGTGGATAACCAAGCCACGTTGCCCACGTTTCAGATAATTTTAAACTTGTCATGATAACGTGGATGACGTGGCCATGGTTTCCTATCTATGTTGAATCAAAGGTGGTCTCCACTCTCTCTAGTTGGGTGTTCAGTAAAGTTTCAATCAATACAACATTTCTATGTTCTTACAACAGGAATACAACTATGTCTTGATCTTCTCAGCACGGCAGCACCACATAGTCTGGATCGGAAATGGCGCCTCATCCTCTCAACACTCTAAAATAGCACTACTTTTGGATTGATCAGAGTTACGCCTTGTTTGAAAAATAAGTGTTTATTTGAACGAGTATTCATTTGATAATCACTTATTTAGTGTTTGGGAGGTGTTTTTCCAACTGTTTATTTTTAAATAGGTATATTTTTGTGTTGAATGGTTAGGAGTTGATTATCTCATAAGCGCTTATTCAATGAAAATGACAATTTTAGTCTTTACTCAACATAACCATATGTTGGAAATAGAAAAAAATGAATAAAATGTTGTTAGAAACCTRGGAATCGGTTTTTCTACAGTTCCACCCCGGTCACTGCCGCTGCAATGAAATAGGCCAATGTGAGGAGAAAGATAGGGAATACTCTAGCGGTTCCCCCCGGTTCATCAAAAGTTTTAACTTATGGGTTGGTTCCTGGGATAATACTCTAGATAGGACCAAAATGGGACCGACGGGGATGTTGAATTTGATACGTGTAGAGAGACGTGGATTGTTTTGCCATTTGCATTTTGCAAGATGAGATCCGGTTTGGGACCCATCAGGATCCGATTCATTTAATGCCCAACTTCAACCTGGATGAGGCGGGCCCCATTTATTCAAACTTCAAAGATCCCTCCAGATAGGTTTTGAGTCTAATCCAATCCAACCTAATCCATTGAAAAGCCGTGACCCGTGGGTGCTCAACAAAATTGGCTCTCAAGTCTCAGCTGCAACTCCGCCCCGTTGCTTTAAATTCCTCGTCACCGAAGTCACCTCGAGAATCGAGATGATGATATCGTCACCGTCTATCAAATACTAAACAGGAGGTAAAAGCACAATCTTACCTCTCCTCTTTGGTGAAAATGAAAGGAAGTGTTTGGTGTGTCTTTATCTGTATTTGTTGCTTCTTAGTTCTTCCTTCGAGGGCCATCCAACGTTGAATGCTTTCAGACTGGGATCATTCAGAAACCCGTAAATAGTTTTGGGTCATGGGTCTACGGTCTAACCGCCGGGTCATTCGTGATATCTCATTAAAAGTACATAATAGTACATTTATATGGTTTATCTATAGTTTGTTATGCTTATAAGTTATATAACTAAGGCTTTGTTTGAATATGGTTTTACTTTTGAGCCTTAGGCTGTGGAAAAAAAGAATCAGCCAAAGAGTGTTTTGAGCAACGAGCAGTTGACAGGAGTTGCTTTTGAAAAACATAATATGTTATGAGTGGGGCAAAAACACTTTTTAAGCCCAAAGCACAAAGCTTAAAACTATATGTTAATAAATTATATATAAAAAAATTTATGATGGTAGAAAGATATGATACCGTAAAGGGTTTGACCAATTAAAACCCCCATGAATTTTAATGAAAACCCATTGAATTGGTTATCATTTTTGTGATTGTCTTTTCGGCATGTTGAACCCTAAATTATATTTTATATATAAGTTTATATGGTTCTAGATGGGTCAATGACAACTCACAGGCTCAATTAAAGTGTGATTTGCTAAGGTGGCGTTTAGTAGCATGTTTTTCTTGTATTTTCATCCCATTTTGAAATGAGTCACCACTCACCACAACATGCATTCATTTAATGGTTGTAGTTTGTTTCAGAACAAGTTGTGCAATGTCATAGAACACAAAATTTCGTGCTAGGCCAGCCACACTAATATCTTGTGTTCTCAAACGTGCCACATCCCTCCTCTATGTTATCTATGATTCCTTGATTCTCATGCCTATTATTTGTACTACTTTTCATTGGCCTTTGTAAACTTTTGTTACTTAGGGACTGCTCATTTGCTCTGAAGTCTAACATCCGAAAGTGCAATAATTACATTAAGAGGTATATTGGTATTGTGAATTTTTCATTCATCTTAACTCTGAATGCATAGAATGTTGTTCTGAATTTTGAATTCTAAAAATTATAAAATATCCTTTTTTACCATACTAGTAAATTTGCATGTGCTTTGCATGTGGCAATTTTAGACAATGAAGATAGTAATACACATCCAAATTATTTTAAATTTTGTATATATTTCTATGTTTATAAAACAATTCTATATTAGAGATGTCCCAAATGTCTTTTTTTATAAACATTATGTAATTTTTTTGTATTTTTGTCTTTCTTTAATTTTTATTATTTAATTATGACATAATGACTTGACCCATTTGATCTAGATGGTTGAATTGCTTACCCACCACCTAGATAGAAGGATGGTTTCATTTTTTGGTTCAATTTTGAAAAAAAAAAGATTTATATTGTTAAAATTATTGGAAATAGATCTAATAACAGAATTTATAGGTGAGAAAATATCATAAATATATCATTTAATGAGAGAGAATGGATATTAGTAACTCATATATGACTTTAGGGATTTGAATGAGGTGAAAAATAATAGTTCAAATTACATTCTTTTCCTTTACAATTAAAAAGGGAATAAATTCAAATT